CCGCACCCTCGGCCTCACTGTTATTCACATCCGCATCATCCCCCTCACTGTCATTCACATCAGCACCCTTACCCTCACGCTCACTCACATTCGCTCTCATTCTCATTTACACTCTCACTCTCATTCACATCCGCACCCTCATTCTCATTTTGTGCCCTCATCCACACCCTCACATCACATCGCAGTAAATAAATTTATTCAATAACATACCTCGACATGTTGGTGAATTAATATTAATACAATCTAATGTACTTTCCGATATAATTTCATTATAATTACATGGTTCATCAATACATTGACATGTATATAAAGTTGAACTTTCTTCAATACATCTTTCCAATGATGAACAAGGATTTGATGAACATGGTGATTGATAATCTTGTTTAAATTGACAATGTTGTCCATAATAATGATTTAAACATAAACATTTTATATTCCATTGATATTTTGGTATTAAACGTTGATATGTATTATAATAAAAATAATCATATTGATTTAAATATAGTTTAATATGACTTGTACAACGACCATTATTTTCACATGAATTTACTTGACATTGATTTATTGAAATTTTTTCTATGGATTTTATATTTGGAATTTTTTCAAAAAGATTACTTGAATTTTTTAATACATTATAAACTAATTTTTTATGTATATAACGTGGTGGTCTTAAACGTGATGGATAACGTATAATAGCAATAAGTAATTCAATTTGATTAGGATTTTTAAAATTAAATGAATATATATGTACATGACGAATATGTACACCAATAATTGCTGCTAAATGTTCACGTACTAAAGGTAAACTATTCATTATAAATTGTTCATATGTTGATTTCGGATTTAAATTAATTAATATTGATAATGTACGATCTAACATTTCACGATCAATTAACCATAAATGTATATCAATTGAATGAGATTTTACTGAAGAATTTATATTTGTTGGAAGATAAATAATTGTATTATTTGAAAAATTAATATTTGGTATTGATTGATTAATAGCAATAGCTGTTAATTCAATTTGATATTGTAATAAACGTTGATGTTTTTGTTGTTGAGAATATTGTTGTAAGGAATTAAAATAAAGTTCAGTTTGATTATTTGATATTTGTTTAAGAAAAAAATTCTTATCTGATATTAAATTATATAATATAAATTTATATTCTGAATGATTTTGAAGAAATATTTCACCAAAATTTACTCTAGAAGATTGTTCTTCTAAGTTTATATACCCATCTATGGTTTGTGGAAGAATTGTTGGAAGTTCTATTTGTCGTTGAAGATATATTAAACGAAGATATAAATCAATATAATATGGAGATAATAATGTATCATTATCCCAAACACGAATAATTAAATTATCTTCATGATCAACAAGAATAGGTTCAAGTAGAATAAGTTCAGTTGTATTTCCATTCAACTGAATTTTATATGATGAAAATGTATTATTAAAAATTTCAAATGTTAAATTTGAATAATCTTTATCAATAATATCAATTCTATGAAGAACTGTATCAACCGATGGTTGATAAAAATAAACAAGTGTTGTAAAATTTTTCGTTAAAATTTCAGGATGATTATCATTAATATTACCAATGTATATTGTTAGATTTAATGAAGATAATGGAATAGACTAAAATAAAAAAATATATATACAGATTAATTATTTTTGTTATGATTAAAAGTACTCGATGATTGGATATAAGTTTTAGCTAAGAATAACAATCAATCAAAATTATCCGAGATAGTCATTAAATACAAATCATTCGAAACTAAACATTTACCATCGTTCAGCAGAAATAAGGATAGGAAAGTTCTTGATAGTGATAGAAACTTGAGGGTGTGAATGTGGGTGTGTGTGTGAGGGTGTGAGTGTAGATGTGGGTGGGTGTGGGTGGGTGTGGGTGGGTGGGAGGCTGTGTATGTGGATGTGTTGAATGTGGACGAAATGATATATTCAACTAAGACCCACACCCACACCCTCGCCCTCATCCACGCCCACACCCTCACCCACACCCACAGTCTTATTTTAGTTTTATTTGTGCCTAACTTTCCTGTGCTCATCGTTCCGGTTTCCAGGAAAAATTGAGTGAAAATCTAAAGTAATGATTTGATCTGAATGTAGCGGATCATCTCGATGAAAAATGCAAAAGATTCCATTGTCAGAGCGATGTAAAATACTCCTATCTATGAACTTTTCAATTAGATAAACATTGAATTTCTTCTCATACCTGATTTTCTCGATCTCTAACAATAATTGTTACATTATATTGATGTAAATCATTTTCATAATCGAATATTTTTTTATTTATAATTGTTCCATTATTTTCTATTAATTGAAAAAAATTCATTTTATCGATTAATTCATAAATAAAATCATTTGAATTTCTTCCAATTGTACAAATTCTTGTTCCGATATTTTCATTTTCATTAATAAAACATTTTTTTTGATTTTCTAGATCAAAATAAACATTATCATCATTAATAATTGATATAAATAAATTCATTTGATCAGTTAAATTAACACCATCTTCAAATACTTGAATATTTAATGTAAAATTTGTAATCATTGATGAAAGTGATTGTTTTAAACGAATTATTCCTGTATGTTCATCAATTGAAAAATAATCAGTTGAATTTAATAAATAATATGTTAGATTTCCATTCACTATTGGATCTTTACTTGTTGCATTTACTTGAAATATATTTGCATTTGGTCGAATTGTTTTACTTATATTAAGAGAATAATTATCTTTATCAAACATTGGTCCATTATCATTCAAATCATTAATATAAAGAATTAATTGATTTGTTAAATTATTTCCTTGATTATGAATATCAATAGCGAGAATTTCATATTGGATAAATGATCCATGATATTCTCTATCAAGTTTTTCATATAAAATAATTGAACCAGTTATTGGATCAATTGAAATTTGTGAGGAAGCATTTTTAAGATAATATTCATATTCGGAAATAAATAATTGATCAATATCAATTAAATCTATACGACCAACATAGAATGGAACAAGATTATTTTCAGTTACATTATAAATTAATGATTTATTATTGAAAACTATTGGATTATCATTCATATTAATTAATTTAATATAAATTAATACTGAACAATTTAATTCAGTAGGTTCAAGGATAACTGAAAATGAATAATATGGTTTTTGTTCGTAATCAAGACGTGCGTTGGATGTGATTACACCTAAATTAAAAAGATTTTTACATATTAGACAATATGAATAAGATATTCAAGTGTATCTCTATGTCACAGAAGACAATTCTATCTCATTTTACTGTATTAAGAAGTTTTTTATTAACAAACCTGTTCGAGAATTAAGAAGAAAGAATTGTGCATCATTATAATTTATATTTAATTTAAATTGTAGATGATTGATTAATTCCGAAGAATTATTAATTGTTAATAAAGTTTCTTTTACTGTTCCAATGATTGTACCAATTGGAGATTCTTCATTAATCATCCATTGAATTGGTATCTATAAAAAGAAATATTTAGTTTATTGTTTTTTTTTTAAATAAAAAATGATTTACTGCTGGACAAATAAAGTGTGACCATTTAGGTGTTCGTATAGTTGATATATTAGTACGACAATAGGATAATGATGATGATAATGAAGATATAAGAATAGTTAATTCGAAATATTCTTCAGATGTTTGATTGAGTATTGGTGATGTTAAATAAAGTTGACCAAGATTATTTATAGCAAAAAGACCGTATGTATCTCCAGATAAGATGTAATAATTATTGGAAATATTATTAATATTAAGACTTATATCTTGAATAACAGTACCTGAAAAAAAAATATTTAGAATAAAAAGAGAAGAAAATTCGAACTAAAAATATTGTACAAAATTTTCAAACTATAGGACGAATTGATTACAATCTTGAGGGTGTGGATGTGTTGAATGTGGACGAAATGATATATTCAACTACGATCCACACCTTCATCGGATTTTCAACAATTAAATTGAATATTGTCTTACATACCAGTGTTTTATCCAGGTTTGTTTTTTCGGGTGGGCGAAATAAAAATTCCGGATGGGTACCGTCTGTCAGTACTTTGTCTGAGTCTCGTTTTTTTTGTAGGCGCCGTCCACGCAGCCCACCCGCTCGATAAAACACTGTTACATACTCTTTATGTTTTTTCTATTAATATAGCATGTCAAAATCTTACAATTATCTGTTTGCACATGTTCATGGTTCTTTACCGCTCACCATGAAGATAAAATTTATCATAAGTATTACAAGAGCAAGTGTTTTATTTAATATAAAAGACGCCTAATGATTGTGTAGATTCTAAAGAATCGTATTAATTCCACCACGTACTATAACGTCTGTTCTCTAGTTGCTTCAACTTATCCGTTTTGAACATCAGAATATGTATAAACTCGAATAAAACTATCGAGATTACGAGAAGTAAACCCCTCCCCGTAATAAAACGGCTGGAACCTTCTATTATGGTTTCGGAACTTGCACTTTTTTTGTGGAAAAATCCCCCAATCCCCCTTGGGCGTTTTTCCCCGACTTTTGCTTTCGAGGGGCCTACTATTTAGGGGGAGCGGGTTTAGTTGATTTATTCTCGATGATAATTTCATCTAGACCTAAGATCAAATTCATATATTCAATATTTTTCTTACCCGGTAAACTTTGATCAGAAAGTAGAATAGGTATATTTGGACATAATTCTATTTGTGAATAATTCTTTGGTAATTCAAATTGTTTTCTTTCATTGAATGATATATCAATTAAAGCTGTATCATTTACATTGTTTTTTTCATCAATTGCATAAACATTTAAATATATTCGATCAATATCTTTCATAAAATCTAAATTATATTGAAATTTTAATGTTCCATCGTTTGAATTTATAAATAAACCATAGGAATTATTTTCTAATTTATATCGAATCGAATTTGAACTATTAGCAAAAACTCGAAAAATATTTTTTGTATAATCATCATTATTTTTAATATAAAAATAATAAATTTTCGATGAAAATTTTGGTTGAATATTTGAATCCATAAATAAAATTTTAACTTGACTTGTTGATATACTGATATTATCCGTTAAATGTAATTCAAAGAAACATATATCAGATAATACTGGAAAATTGGAAAAAATTAATTCATTTGATTTAATATAAAAATTATCATGACAATCATTTCTTGTTAACGGCGTTGAAGAAATTTTTAATCGAAAATTATTTTCAATTGAAAATTTTTCAATAAAAAAATCTTTTTTTAATAAATTTTTTTCTAATTGAAATTCATACGATTTCTTTTCTAAATGAATAAATTTTTCCACAAAATTAATTTGTATTGATGTTTGAATAATAAAATTTTTCCAATAAGCATTTACATTCAAATAATATTTATCCGTTGGAAGAAGATATTCTTTCAATATTAATTTATTGTCATTCATTTCAAATAAATTGGTTTGATTTTTTAATTGATATTTAGCTGATTTTAACGATTGATTAAATAAATCAACAATATCAAATTGAAATATTTCCAATGGGATAATCATATTCGATGTTAATAAAGATATGAAATATAAATTTGAATTAAATTTCGGTTGAATCGAATAGATAAGTTTGATTTTCGTATAAACTATTTGATTAGATAAATCAGTAGCTGATGCATAAAATTCAATAATTGGTTTAAGAAATAATGTTTTAGGGATTTTAATTAACCCTGATGATTTATTTATTTCAACGCCATGTGGTTGAAGATAGAGATCGTAGAATATTTTATCGTTAATATCTAAATCATACGCAATTATTTGTCCGAATACATCTTTAGTTTGATCATATTGAAATATGTATTCATTCGAAGAAAATTTCGGAGAATTTTTTGAATAATTATTTAATTGTATTTGAAAATATGTTTTTGTTAAATATAATCCATCACTAACGCCGATATTTAATTGATAAAAATTTTTATTTAATGTGGAATTATTCATTGTAATGATTCCATTTGTTGAATTAATTGAAAAATATTTTTCTTGGTCTTTATCAAGAAGATAATATTTAAGATTTCGATTATCATTTAAATCAAGATCATTGGCAGATAATTTTGTAATAAATGTTTGGGATGATGATAAGGATAAATTTATTGGTGGATTTTGAAATTGTGGATAATGACTGTTATAATCATTGACGATTAATTTAACAATTGAGATTTGTTTTAATGTTTGAAGTTTAAATGAATAAAATTTGTCGGATAAATAATTCATTAAAATAATTTCTCCGGTGATAGGATTTTTTTCAAATAGATTAGAATTATAATCTCGTAATGTAGAAGAATTCGATTGAATAATTAATGATCCAGGTGGAAGAATTTCTGATATGTTTTTTTCATAAATTAATGATGAGAATGAAATTTCATCAGATTTTCTTATATGAATTGTTATATTAATTGTTGTATTTTGTCCGTAGATTAAATCACGTGCAAGGATTTGAAATTGTTCCAATGTTTTATTATAATATTCATTAGATATATATTCAATAATACCATTATCAGGGTTAATAAGATAATATTTATTTCGATTAAGAAATTGATAAACAACATGACTACGGTTTTTATCATATGGTTCTGCTGATATTTGACCAATAAATATTGAATGATTAATAGGATTTGTTAGATTTAGAGAGAAATCATAAGATTTTTGGGAAAATATGGGTGATTGAAATGGAATTATATCATAATTAAATAATGTACCGTTAACTAATTTTAATTGACCAGAAGACTAGAAGAAAAGAAATATTTTTTGAATAAATAGAACTTTTAAAAATTGATAAGTGTATAATTATATTGTGATTTGCAAGATATAAAGTCTTTTTGTCTGCTTTCTATTGTAATAGTATGTACAAACTCTCTAGATAGAAAATCATTTCGTCAAGCACAAATTCTTTTATCTATCAAAATAATATTTCGTGTAGGAATTATCAATTATTTATTAGCTGTAACTAGCGATAACGAGACCACTTCTATTTATCTCATTCATTATGATTCAATAAACTTTCTTATCTTTATAATCTATATAGTTCACTACCATAATCTTAATAGGAGCCAATATAATATGGCTAGTGTTTATTTGGGCAATAAAAATACTCAGGTGTAGGTCTAAATGGTAGATAAGTCTGTAGTTATAAGCGTGGGTAGATGTGCGAATTAGCCCAGATGTGAATGTTTCATTGTTTTATCCAGCGGGTGAGCTGCGTGAGCGCCGCCCACCCTAAAATTCGGTCTACCCATCCGAAAAAATACAGTAGCTGTATATTTTAAGATGGTCTGGGTAGGCGCTGGATGAACACCGCCCACCCTAAACTTCTACTGATTGATCAGAAAAACGAAACCTAGATAAAACACTGGGACATTTCTCTTTTTCCGAACTTCCACACTCTAAATTCCATTATTGCTCAGTTAAATATAAGACATAAGTACGTATATAACTATTTATTACCTTTTGAATATTATATTTTTCGTTCAAATCTATTTGTAATTGACTTCCATTTCTAATCATTATATAAGAAATATTTGATATTGATTTTTCAACTGTAATTAAACATTTTGAATTATCCGTTTGAATTAAAAGTACTACATCTTCATTAATACTTTGATTTGGATTTCGATAATATAATAAACCATGTTGGCGATCAAGTAAAAATAATTCATTATAATTTAAAAGATAAAATGATTGATTTATTGATTGATAACAATTTATATTTGTTTGATTTCTATTTATTATATTAACAAATCCAATGAATTGTTGATCCGTGGAATAATCCAAACGATTTAATATACATTCAGATATTTGATTTAAATCACTTATAACAAGAAGCTGTATTCGAATAATTTTTAAATCTTCATCTTGTATAAGAAAATCATAAAAATTTCCACTTGTTAATATTAATGTTCGATTTTTAATATATAATCTGCCCAACCCATCAATTGATATCATAGGTAAAATATTTTCATTTAAAATTGTTAAATTTTTATTTGATGTATTTATATATCCAATTGTAGAATTATTTACAAATGGTGTATATAATTTAAATTCATATATAGATTGATATGCAGGTTGTTTTAATATAATTTTATGATTAATAAAAAGATTTATACGTGTAAATGTTATTAAAGATTGATATTTTGCATAAATAAGAAATGAATATTTATTTTGTAAATTTTCTAATGAATTATATTTAATTAAACCAGCGTATTCATCTAATTGAAAATAATTACGATGTGTTTCATTTAATAAATGATAAGTTGTATCAAGTAGATTAAATGAAGTTTTTAATTGAATATGTAAAGGAGTTTGTTGATCAGTATATATAAACGATGATGAACCAAATGAATCATTTATATAACCAAAATAATTTTCATTTTCAAATATAAAATCAAGATTTTTTATTGAAAGATTTTGAGAAATATTATTATCATTATCAATAATACATTCAGCAAGATTGGATGCTTCACCATTAATCGGTGTAAATGGATCAAAGGCACGAACAATTAAGGAATTATATGATTTATATTGTTGACCAGTAAGTGGATCAATACTTTTCAAAGGTAAAGATTCATATGTAAAAAGATATGGAGATGTTTTAACATATGATGGACATGGAAAATAAATACCAATATTAGATATAAATATTGTTACAATAGAAATAATTGTATCCATTTGTGATACATCGATAATAGTTAAATTTAATGGATAAGTATATGAACGAGCAAGTGATTCATCAAGAAAAATAAGGGATTGATTAGATGAATCGATTGAAAATAAACCTAATGGATCACCTAAAACAGATATTAATATATTAGTAATGAGTTGAGAATATGATTGCTTTTACTAACGATAAAGTTTATCAGAACTCAAGACAACGAAAGATGAAAAAGTAGGGTTTTAAGACAGTCGCTCGGAAAGGCATTTTCTCGCTAATTTTGGTATTTAAATGATTGGAGGCAAACAGTTAGAGCACGGCGGTTCCAAAAATTACGCGGAATCGAGCTTAAACTGCGGTTCCGGTCAGTGGAAATGAGAAAAGAGCGATTCCGGTTCAATTTTTTGGAACCGCAGTACACCCAAACCCATCTTCGGTCATTTTCATTGCTCTGAAAGTTCCTATAAATCCACAAAATTTACCTTGTAGAATTTTTGTATTCGGTATTCTTCTTTTTTCTTCATCATCATTACTAATCAATTCAAAATTCATTAAATATTTTCTTCGATTTTTAATTAATGATGTTTCAAATATAATTAAATAATTGTCTTGACTAAATCTATATGAATCCGTTGTTTTATTTAATAAATTCTTTTCATCAAGTATTTGAATATGTAAATTTGTATGTGCTATATGATAATTATGTTGACAACGATAAATAATTGTTAATAGATGTGTTTGACTTGAAGAATTTTCTAATGAATTAATAACAGTTACGGAACCTGAAAATGAATCAATACGAAACAAATCTTTTGATTTGATTTTTTCAACTGTATCGATTGAATATGTACAATCATTAACTGAATTATCAATTGTTAACCGTGCTATTTCAGCACCAAGTGGAATATTTTTTGATATAGATGTATAATAATCATTTTGCGGAAATTCAATTGATGGAATTTGATTATTTATAATTCGTATAATAACTTTAATTGTATTCATATTAATCCAATCATTTGTTACATTAATATGAAGTTCAATTATATTTGTTTGATTTAATAATTCAACAATAGGACGAATAAGAATCAATTGACCAGTTTGAAAATCCACATGAAAATATCGTGTATTACGTATATGTCCAATCATAACAAACCATTGAGTATTATTCAATCGATTATTTATTCCAAGTTGTAAAATTGTTGAACCAACTTCAGTTGTTGTCAATAAATCTGTATTTATTGTCGAATCAATTGTAGGTGATAATGATTGATTGGCAGATATCATTGGTAAAATTTGAATTTTTATCGGTAATGATACACGAGATGAGACTATACGCCATTTACCTCGATTAGTATGTTGTTCGTCATCTTCATTTTCATTTCCATCTGATAATATATCATCACGATGTGCAACAGTAAATGCTTCAACCTAAATAATCAATATATTGAAAATATAAGATATTAGATTGTATGAAATGTAACGTGGTCAGATATACGTAAGTATTATATATTTAAGACCTTTCTTCAATCATAGGAATTATTCTATAGTTATTGATATAGTTAAGATATATAACGGTCAGATATAGCTAATTATTACCGTTGCAACTTTTTTTCTTCTACAGAGAACGAATACGGATAAGACCGCTTTATTATGAGTGCAATCAATATGTTTTATTGATATACATCTGAAGAAGTATAGAAATGGGTCATAAAATGAATTACTATTGCAGCATCAGATAGTCACTCGAAATTTGATTTTCATATAGAGATATATTTAGAATAAAAGTATTCGATTACATCAAATTACAGTTTGATATGACTCCAAAGTTTTTCGCAATTAGATTAACGAACACCGCTTAGGGATGTTAAGAAATATTAGTTTAAAACAAAAGAATTAATTCTCATTAAAAGACTTGTCAAATCAATAAACTATAATACATTTATGCATAACATGACAGACTATTACTAACTCTTTATAAAGCTCATTTTACAGTAAACGGATTATTATTTATAAAAAATTCTTACATTAAATTCATATGTTGTATAAGCTTTTAATGGTTGTTTTGCAGCAACATATCCTGTTTGTCGATTAATAATAAAATGTTGATTTGTATCAGCAATTCGATATCGTATTTCAAGTTTTTTATCATAAACTTTATTATCTAATAATGCAATAATTTGAAATAAACGTTGTCTTAATCTTCCACTATTCCGTTCAATTTCATACGAATTAATATTATAACTTGGTGAATAAATAAATTTTGGTATTAATTGACGTCGACGAATAAGATGAATATTAACATAACAATTAACAGAAAATTTATATTGAATATCGAATGTTTTGATTGTTAAAAGATAATCAGATTTTAATCGACGATTATTTGAAACTGATGGTAATAAATTAAGAAAACCAGTTCGTTGATCAATGGAAAAGATTTTTTCATATTGATCATTATCATTAATTGAATATTGAAGAAGTGAATTTTTATTTAATGATATAGCTTCAACACGAGCAAATGGATGTTGAGTTGAATAATCATATACTTTGACATTTTGATAAATATTGACACATTGTGGAAGATAAAAATTTTCTTGTCGGATTGATAGATGAATATGAACAAATGTATGCGGTGGATGAGCACGATAGCGTGTTAGACGTATTGCAAGCCAATATGATGATTTTGATAAACCGATTAAAGGATGAGTTAGACGAAGATAACCTTAAAAAACCAATATATATATACAAATACACATCAATGATGATTTATATCTCTTTCATAACAAAATGTTCGATCTTTTGTGATTATAATTCGCATTAAACATTTTATATGTATCATTTAAACAGACAATCAAGATTTAGATTACTTATTACTACCATTACTCATAAAAATATTAACAAGTCAATATTTTATTTTAATTCATTTATATTACAATCGTAAAATATAAGATGTCAATCTTTATAAACTTTGTCCATTACATAATTAAAATTGACTGTTTTCCCTTTGGAAAACACACTTCCGCCTCTTTCTAATTCGATATTTATATTAGCTGTCAATATTAATTTAAATACATTATTAGACAAAGCATTAAAACAAGAAAATTTCGAAATTCTTTTTTTTTCGGATTTACTAAGAAAAATTAGTTTATTAGAAAAACAAATCATGTCCGCGTTTACATATTTTTTTTTCGTCTGCTCTCTCTCGAAAGGTCACTTAAAGAATCATCCAATGATTTCAATCATGAGATGACCTTATTTGCTTGACAAGTTCTATTCATTCTATTAGGCGTCATCTGATCATATCAATCAAAATTGTCTAGTAGTAGTCGCTAGATTATCATTTATTGATAATGTAATTTGAATCATTTGACATTCAGAGGATTTAATTAAACAAAACAAATATTTTCTTTTTCAGAAAATTCAATTAATTGAATTATTATCTTAAATAATAATTCTTCTTTAGATTGATCTACCCATTGAACAGATGTCCTCGATAAAGTTTATTTTTCTGCATTTTCTTTTTTGATGAACATGTGTTCTCTTAAAACATGTATATAATGACTAT